GAAATAAATCTTCCAAGGTGTTGGGTAAAAAGCAGGAGCTCGCTGGAGAGCAGCAGTTCCTGGAGCAGTGTTTGGGATAAGCTCCAGGGGATGCCCCACCACACCCAGCACTACAAGCTCCTTTAAGGGCTGGATCTTGACCCCTTGGAGAAGGTTTTTAGGGGGGCATCCCCCCCACAAACCCTTTGTGAGATTTGCCCCCTTTAAGTATTTTTTGTGGTCCCACCACATTCCATGTCCCTTTTAAGGGGGGCTTTGCCCTCCCATTACAGGGGTTTGGGGCTCTCCAACAGTTCAAACCCCATTTAATTGCATCCCCAACCCTAAATGTTCTTTTTAGGGGTTTTTCCCMTCTTTTTTTAGGATTTTTGCTAAGCCTCAACACTCCAAACCCCCTTTAAAGGGCTCCTTTTCTCCCCTCAATTTTATTTTTGTTGAGTCCCTCTACCATCGCCGCTTTAAGAACTCGCCTTGGAGTCTCTTCCATAAACCCCTTAATTGGGCAATGCCCCGGGAGGATTTGGGGGGTTCCTGAAGAAGTTTTGGGGGTCCCAGAGGAGATTTGGGCATCCTGGAGTATTTCTGGGAGGTTCCCAATAGATTTTTGGCATCCTGAATGTGGTTTTGGGGGTCCCAGTGCGATTTTGGGGGTACCCTTGCGTTATACATGGGGGTGCCTGGGGCGTTTTGGGGGCCCCAGGGAGGGGACTGAAAGTTTCCAAAGAGATTTTGGGGGTCTTGAGTGGATTTTAGGGGGTCCCCAATGGGGTTTCTGGGAACCCCGGGGGATGTTCAGAGGGGTCACAGTGGGGTTTTGGGGGTTCACAGAGTATTGGGAGGGGGATTTGGGGGCTTCTGTGGGGATTTTGGGGGTTCCATGGGGATTTTGGGTTTCTGGAGGGAATTGAGGGGTTTTGGGGTTACCTGAGCAATGCTGGTGAAAGAGATGGGAACCCCATGCTGGGTATAAACTTCATTCTGCATGGGCAGCGTCAGCRTGTTCAGGGAGATGCTGGGGGGTTCTCATGGTCATAAGCACAGTCATGGTCATCTCATTGTAATGGTCATCTCAGGGTCATGGTCATCTCATGGTCATGGCTGTGTCACAGTCGTGGTCATCTCATGGTCAATGTCCTGTCACAGCCATTGCATGGTCAGGGTCATTTCCTCATCACCATCATCTCATGCACATCGTCATTGCATTGTAACGGTCATGGTCATGGTCATCTCATGGTCTTGGTCACCACATGGCCATGGTCATGCTGTGATCATCTCA